CAGAAAGCGAAATTTGAATATCACACACTTAGGTTCAAGATTATGCCAAAATTTCATGTTTTCCGTCCCGTTTTTGCTCATTTCTCGGAGGCAAAGTGAGCAAGAACGTTCATTTGTACGTCATTCTAGAGATAAATAAATGGCCTTTTTAGAAAGTGAACCATCGATACAAAAATGTTGGCAGTTTTCTCAAAAAATGCTTGAATTCAAGAAGTTTTAGATTTGCGTGGTTTTTTTTGAGTTGCAAAATACACTTGAACATCACGCTGCTTTTTTCGAAGTTTCTTAAGAACCATTCGAGCTACAGAATTCGTTTTGGCATCGCAAATATTTGCATAGCGGTTAAGGGGGCGAGTTCTTAAGTTCTTAAGTAGGGTTCTTAAGTAGAGACTTAAGGTTATGCTTAGCGTTAAGTTCGAGCCTAACTGCAAAAATGGAATGCACCAACCGATGACACGATCTTAAGTTCGTCTTTGAAAATCTTTAATCTTAAAAAATCTTAAAAGTCAGTGCGTAAGCTCTAAAGATGCTTGCGTCTTCAACGACGGAAGAATAAGCAGAAAATCACCAACTGATTCATTCGCCTTTAGCTCCATATTCAAAACATCCCAGTTATGTGAAAATCATCAATAATTTACATCCCTCCGAATTCAGTAATACAACATGGAAAAATTTAGGAAATAAACTTAATGCTAACAGAAAATCAAGCTAGCAAATAAAGAAAGTAAACCCAAACCAAATCAAATTGACCAGAAAATGAAACACGGGCAAAAAGGAAATCGAATTATTTATTTGAATAGAAAGATAGGCAAACCTAAAACCCCTTTTTCCGCAAAAGTAATGCTAGAATTTAGGCCTAAGTAACGCTGCGTTGAGTTAAGCTATTGAGTTGTTGCCGTTTTCTGAGTTAACGAGTTATAAATGATCGGTTAATGAGTCATTTATTAAAGCTTTGCGAGACCCGAAACTGGAATTTTCACATTTAAAAAAAGGTCGTCAACATTTTTTCTGAGTAACGTTTTACTACTTTGTTCAAACAACTAAAAAACTCATCTTGACTTTTCCAGCAACAGAACTGAGTAGAAAGGCGACGAGTTTTCTTGTAAAATCATTCTCTTAATTTTTTTGCATAAAAGATTCAGTTTGCCAGTATTTTACAGTAAAATGTTAGGAAAAACGCGGTTTTTCTGTTTAGAGACAG